CTTTTCCTTCTCCCATTGACCTGTGCATGAAAAAATTTGGTGTTTCTATCCCCCTCCTTAAACCATGTCATGCCTGATTTTTGTCTCCAGAAATCTTCCTCCAAAGCAAGATATTTGATCATTTCAGCTTGAACACATTGTAATCTCTGCCTGTTCATCACTGTTGGATTTAATTCAAATTGTCTTTCATGCACCAGGACTACTTCCTCTAGGCTTGCAATTCTTTGAAAAATATCCCCATATGTAGCTTTACTCCATGTTGACAGTGCCTTCTTTAATTTCTTCAATTTGTAGTTGAAGATAACAAAGGAACTAGCACTGAAATCTGCTGACCAATTTTCTTTAACAACATCTTTGAATGATTCATGTTTAACCCAGAAATTAAGAAATCTAAAAGGTTTCTTAATAGGAGAAGTTTCAATATCACATTTTAATAACATTGGTCTATGGTCAGATCCTGTTTTGGACAAGTGAGTAACTTCCAAACCAGGAAAAGTCTGTTGCAATTCAGCATTCCCAAAACATCTATCAAGTCTCTTAAAGATACAATCTTCCTCAGATCTCCCATTCCACCATGTATAGATACTCCCTTTAAAGCCCAAATCTGTCAAGTTGCAGGTATTCATACAATGTCTAAAATCATCTACTTCATTGAGAGACACAGGTAATCCTCCATATTTTTCTTCCTCATCCCATATCACATTAAAATCTCCTCCTACCAACCAGGGAACACTCATATCTACAGCCATTGCATATAAAGAATCCCATAGTTCAATCCTTTCTATATGATCACATTTTGCATATACTAGAGTAAGAACCAGCTCAACATGTGTTTCAGTATGAAATAATCTAAGAGTCAGCTGCTGTGCCATATTATACAGAATATCAACTTCAAAAACTTCATCTATGAATGCCCAAATCTTATTAGAAACATTTACCACAGCTTGTGCTAACCCAATCCTTGCCCTATATCTCTCAATTTTGTTAGATTGCTGCATAGGCTCCAGAATCCCAATAAATTCAAAATGATGTTGTCTATGCATTGTAATTATTCTTTCAAAAGCTTGCTTAGTGTTCACTGACCTTACATTCCATATGATAGCATCCATTATAAATTTTGGGATTTGGACAGTGTTCTCCTAGTTTGAACTCCTCCTGCTGGTGCATTTGAAGTCTCCTTTGATTGTTTCTTTCTTCCTTTAGCTGCAGACTTTGCCTGGTCAAAATGTCTTGGTGATAAATCTCCCTGCTTAGCTACATTAAGGAAATTTTGAGCAGTTGACTCTTCATCCATATCTCTATCTATGTGGTCTGCTTTTTTCTGATTTTCATCTATCCCTTGAATGTGTATGACCTCCACAATATTTGCCTCATGAGTTTGATGAGCAACTTCCTTCTTTCCCTGCATATCACTGAGTTGCATCTGTACAGGAATCACTGGAACATTATTTCCTATTGCATCCTGCAACTTTTTCTTTTGCATGCCTTGTGTATATTCATTCATTTTATCTTTTGTTTTTACATTACTATTATCTGCTTGTTGGCCTGTTCCTCCTGGATCTATCATGCTAATATTGTCCACTTTGCCAAGCACTATATCATCATTATTGTCTTCACAATTCAACTGGGCTACATTTTCCTGCAACTGTGAGCTTGACATAATAACATTGCCTGAACTCTGTACATCTGTGGATGTGAATTTACTTTTTGCATCAGCATTTACACTTTGATCTTCCTCATCTACTTCCTGTTCACCCCTCTCCTCATCACTCTGCAGTATCTCAGGGATCTGACCATCTTCATCAACTTCTTCTGTCTGATTTGCCCATAATTTCCCTCCTATAGCTTTAGCCTTTTCAGTACTCTTAAACACTTCCAAATCTGGATCTTCTACAAATTCCTTTTTATCATTTAAAGCCAGCTGTTCCTCCACTAAAGTGTCTTGTGAAGGGATTTCATGACATGATGTATTTATTGCTGCTACCTTAGTATTGAATGCCCTATGAACCCATTGACTTGTGGACTCATTATTTGCCTTTTGAATCTTATCTGCATCACCCATGTTTGCTTCTTGGTTGACATTTTTCTGCACCAATTCCTCTGACCTTGAAGTACCATGTGGAGCTATAGAATTAAGACTTCCTCCCACACCTGTGTGATTAGCCTTCCTTCCAATTTTTGTCTGTATCTTCCCTCCATTTTTAGGTGTGCTAGATTGATCTGCCCTCTTCGTATTATCTGTATCATTGGGTTTAAATCCATCTATTGGCACCTCACTTTCCTCCCTCAGTATCAGTTGTTTGTTACCATTCTCTTCACTGTTTTCTACCTCCAAGATTGCAAACTTGTTATTAGTTTGTACCTGATGTAAAGCTCCTCCCTTTTGCATATCCACTGGAACTATTTCTTGTCCTATTTTATCATTTGCCTCCATCTGTTTTTCCTTTCCTTGCCCTCTCCTATCTCTAACTTCTTTCCACTGTGTCCCTTGATTGCCCACGACTTTACCACTTGAAAGAATCATTAGAGGTGCATTATTTCTTTCTTTTTCCTTATTGCCTTGCCTATAATTTTCTGCTGCATCTTGCTTCTCCTCATTTCTGTGTGCCATGAGTTCAGGATGAATACTCCAACATTCCATCATGTCATGACCTTGTAACTTACACTCCTTACAATATTTAGGAAGGTAATCATAATTAATAGTCACCCACTCAGTTCTTACCTCACCAGCAGCTTCATTAACAATGTCCATTCGAACTTTTTTAGGATGATCAGCCATAAGATCAATCAAAACCTTAACTCTTGCACAACTGGGCCTTGTTTTATTAATAGTAGCTTGATCTAGATGCAAAGGTTTACCAACAGCAGATGCTAACGAGAACAAGCACTCTTTAACAAAGTACGTTGGTAATAAATTTGGGAAAGATATCCAAGCCATGACCTTGGGAGTTTCTTCCCCTGCCTTGAATTTAGCATCGTAAATCAATGTCCTTAACTGATATTCCTCGCCATACTTATCCTTAACATAATAAACACCTTTTGATGAGAAATCAATAAAATCTTGCCATAATGAGAGCCTAATCAGTATATGTCTTTCACGTAAGAAACCAATGTTACACTCTCCTTTAATACCACATTGAATAGGTATTATTCGACGTAATTCGTTAAGCTCAGGCCATCCATACGAGAATTTGCACACGACTGCATATTGCAGTCCTTCAATTACGTTCATGCGTTCAACCTCCGCCTCAGTAAAGCACACTGTTGGTTGACCTTGAAACACTTGGGCTCGTCGAAAGGGGATAGGTTCTACTGCTGATGCACGATCGTGCATGGCATTAGTCGACGTAGGCTTCACTGCCGCTGCATAATTCATACTTTTTGGATCGTTTG